CTCTACCGTCCTCCCCCCTCCGGAATGTTCTACTGACTGTGAACGGGAGCTAGCACTTTTGAGACATCACGTCATAAACTTGCTACTTTCTTTCCATCCTTCATCACAGCTATGGCATTACCGTCATGTGGATTATTGAAGAAAAAACCTAAAGTCCATTACGATAACCATAATGAGGCATGCCGAAGATGGGAACTTGTTGCATCATAATTTTGCCATGTGTGTGGGTGTGTGAATAAATCATGTTAATGAGGTTTACCAGAGTTTATTTTCAGTCTGTTTTTTTGTATCGCCATTTGGATATGTTTATGTATTCACAATAGTTTGTAAACATTTCACATCAGTAATAAAAGGTTTATTTGTTTCATAACCCTGTCTGCTATTCTTCAGTAATTACAATGCGATGTATCAATACGTGCGTGAACAAAATTATGCTAATGAGGTAGTTTTTCCCTCGGCCGTTTCGACTTGCACTGATCACGGTTACTAAAAATGTAACCATGCATTGATTACAATACTTACCATACTTTGTAGCCAATTTCAGTGAGTAATATAACTTCATTCGCTGACATGAAACAAGTTTTATTCTTGAAATTCGACCCTGTTCTTTACCGGGTGCTCACGTTTATTGAAACCTTGCATAAATCAAGAAATAAGTACGTGTACAAAGTATACAAAAGCATTCCTTTATTTGACCTTATCATACGATCACAAAAACAACTTTTTTAAATCTTTTTTAGGGTGGCTCGGGTAAGCGCCCACCCCCAATTTTTCCCGATTTTGCATGTTCAGGCCCCTGGGCACGTGCCCGGGGTAATACGGTATAACATTTAAATTTACCCATTATCTAGCCAATTGGCTAATGGTTCCCATTTCTGATAATGGACGAGCTCTTTGTTTTTGTTTATTACGATTTGTAATTCAATATTTCTATTTTCCCTGATCCAACTTTTATATGCGTATTTTGTTAGATTAATATTCAATTTGTTCATAAATTTTCAGCATCCTTTCATAAAGAACGCTGCATCAGCAAGTCTGGTGGACATGATAGCTGAAGCTAAGGAGAGAAGATTAGAAATGCAAACAAGACAAGAACAAGATTTTGGTGATTCAGTAAGTCATCTTTCTGCTTGTCATTGAGATGAAACAATACATTGCATGAAGCCATGTTGTAAATCGTCTCCTATGTTCTTCTCTGAAATTGTACTTACTAATTTGCATATCATTTGCATATAATTTACATAGTTATTCCAAGCATACTCATTAAAAACACATATTTGTTTACATAAAAAACTCTAATGAATTAGGAA